CACACACACACACACACACACACACACACACACACACACACACACACACACACACACGCGCGCGCGCGCGGCACCTACGTGCCCATGCACGCACACATGCACTTGAAACGTTTCAATATTTAAATGATAGTAGATAAACACGAAATGTATTTACTACCAAAGTCGTCGTAATGTTTATCTATTATTTTCCGCTTATTATTGGTAACAGTGTCCCCTAAATGCAGCCCATGCAGGCGGTCTGCAACACACAGAATCACCGTACGCACGGTGATTTCTTACTGTGCGCAAAAACTCCCCGAACGATAAAGATATAGAGAATTCTATATCTTTCTGTGGCTTTGTGCACAGTGATGTGCATGCGATGATATTGTGTGTTTGCAGAGGAGCATCATGTCGAATAATTAGTCAATACAGAAAACATAAAAAATAACACTTTGGAAATAAATACAATTTGTGTTTATTTACAATCGTTTTATTATTGAAACAGTCGAAGTGTCTGTGCACACGCACACACACGCATACACACGCACGCACACAGAAATGGGAATTTTTACTTTGAGGAACTAGCATTTGTCGCTAATTATATAATTATACCGAGGACGTTGTTTTACGGTCTCGGCTGGACGCATTTTAAATCACTGAATCGCACACACGTGCACGTATAGGTGCACGAATAACGTGTGCTACAGAGACACGCAATGAATGTACAACAGGCGAAAGAGTATTGTTTATAAATATACTTATTTATTTATAAACGATAGTGATATCTACGTAATATTAAGGTGACGCAGCACAATTGCCCTACCCGTATGAGCGAGATAACCAGGAGTCCCTCCTCGGATATCTTGGATATTGTTGTTAGGTCGGTCAAGCGAGGTCGGTTCATGTCTGTTTTTTTGCACTCGCGTGCCAAATTTCGACGCTTCCACACTCTGTTGCCAAGCATTAGTTTTGGAATATGTTGTCGCCATAAGGATTGACCAGAGATGCCTGTCAATCACACCAGACGGATAGACGAAATTTTACAATTGCGCTGGGGCCATCTTAGGATTGACGCGATAGGGAAATGGCGTACGACATGTGTACAATACAAAACCGCACATCGACGAATAAATTTTTACGTCGCACATATATCCCCACTGCGTTTGCGGGCGATTCGAAAACTCGCAGCTTTTCCCTATATACATAAAATTTAATGTTATTTGCTGTTACTATGTTACATAACCGACTGTAGGCGCTGATGGTTCTCCTAAACAATGACAACGACGCTATGCGCCATCTAGCGATATTATGACGGTAAATGCGCTATGTCCGGTGACCGATCGCATTAAGCGTGGGTGCAACCGGTGACCAGTTGCCTGGGCGATCGGGGTGTATACTCCTTTCCAACGTCGAGATGACGAGCAGAGTTATACACATAATAATATCACGTATATGCCCAAAGGACAGTGTAATTTCATTGCCCCACCTACAGCATCTCACTCACATAAAATGGGGGTCGGTTGTGTGACATTCCCCGTTAAACGCGCGATCGGCGTTCATTCGTCGTATACCAATTCGTTGTACAAAATCTCGTAATTTCAAGGTGGAAGCAATTAAGATGATGCAATCAGATCTCTATCAATGCCAGCTCAATATGGCAGTAGATGTTTCAGGCGGACTAGTAAGTCACCGCTGTGCAGCTATCGCCTTCTATAATCTGTATAGAATCTTAGGTTAAGATATTAGTACCGCCACTGTTAAAGGATGGGTATTATCCTACCGTGCTTTGCCAGCTAATGGTTAGACGAAATTCTGGTTGTTTTCATGGCAGAAAAACATTGATGAACGTATCAAATATTATTGCCGGCTGTAAAGGAACGGAAACGCTCTGATAAAGAAAATTTTTATTGATTTGAGTAAAAGTTTAATGATGGACCGAGAGGTTTCGGAGTTACGCGGCCGAAAAACACATCTCCTTTAAATGCGCACCGCCACACACCCGCACACGCACGGACCCACACGTACACACATATACACGCGCGCGCAGCCTACATACACATAGCTTCGGTATAAACCATCACCACCACCACCACCGCCGCCATCGCCACCGTCGCCGCCGCCACCACCACCACCACAACCGCCAGCAGCAGCAGCAGCAACAGCAGCGCACCACCACCAGCACCACCGCAGTAGCAGTGGTAGTCGTAGTAGTAGTAGTAGCAGTAGTAGAAGTAGTAGAAGTAGTAGTAGTAGTAGTAGTAGTAGTAGTAGTAGTAGTAGTAGTGGTAGTCGTAGCAGCAGCAGCAGCAGCAGCAGCAGCAGCAGCAGTAGTAGTAGTAGTAGTAGCAGTAGTAGCAGCGGCTGCAGCGTGCGTGTGTGATATGGCGCAGCATATCGCTTCACGGAACTTGCTGCTATTTTCTGCTTCCGTACGCTTTCTGCACACGAGGCGGAATTCGGTTAGAAATCGCTACGTTGACACATTCCGCGGCCTCGCGTCGCCTAGACAACGGGACCGCAGCCACAGATCTGCAGCTATCATTAGTTCTCGCTTCGCATTCGGAGCTCGCATATGACGCTACGAGCGCAGCACGTCAAACCAAACTGCGACGAAGGTGTAGAGTAAACGGAGGACTCCGCCAATCAGGATAGTGAAACGAATAATATTGTACAAGAATAGTATACACGTAAGTTTTTCTTTTAGCTTTCGGCTTAGGGTTTGCTACCTCACTTTATAAATTTTTGTACTATCTTAACTTTAATGTTCTTTCGCGTTCTTTGCACTTGTTGTTGGAGCACTTGTTCTATTGCACTGTAATTGTTATTATCGTACTATCACGGGCAAGTTATTTCTTTAATAAATCTGCTTCTTTATGGCACTGTCTCCTCTCGCCTTCTTTGTGTATTTGTAAGTGTCAGCATTTCTACGCACTTCAGCGTAAGCCGCACTAAGCGCTTACAATAGAATTGTACAAAAAATAGATCATAAGACGCGCGTACCATGTGTCGCCGCGGCCGCATCGCGTACGCGCGCAGTTCGAGATCGCCCGCGACAAAATCTACGACAGGCAGCCCGGCAATTTTGAATGGAAGTGCATCCGTAACGGATTCCGGTTGACAGGCCGCTAAACTAGTTATCCTGAGAGTGCTCACGTGGATACGTGTGGCTTGCCTCGGCAACGCGCATGCGCACGTCGTGGCGAAAGCGATACATTATTAAAACAGATTCGTTGGGGCAGGTGCGCCGCTGGACTAGCCTTAGCAACAACGCATTGGAAACAGAATCAACGCCGCGTACGAGTGTGTGATATATCATACATTTGAGATGTTTCCCTTAGACGCCGCATGTCCGTGCAGCCTCACTATATATATATATATATATATATATATATATATATACCCCTGAAAGAAAGGCGGCGACATCGATTTCGAAACGGGATACGTAATAAATTACAAGGAAAATGACAATGGACTTTACGTGTCTACGTGACAGCTTATAAGCTTTGTTTGCTGCATGGCGTTCGACTCGAAATGGGTTAGGGTTAGATTGCATGCTTCGTGTTTAGCATTGTGCCGGTTACTCCGTAATATAATATACAACTATATATATATATATATATATATATATAGCAGCAATATTCCGCCTTCCGCTATCTTAGAACTATCATACATCGCAATCTCTGTTGGCAGTCTGTGTTGACATTCATGTTTCAACAGCCAACCTGGTGGCTTATCGAATTTTACATCCTTCGTCGTTTTTGTTGAAACGCGACACTGCATCGATCCTGTCCAACAATAGGTTACTATGACGATAAGAGATATAAGTAGAATAATAAAGAAGCGTGTACGTAACGTACTGTAACAAGGCTGTCACGCTGCTCAGTAATTCATCAAACTGCATCGCCCCTTTTTTCATAATCGTCATCAATTAAGTTCTGTCACGCGTAAACGAATTTACATGCCCAAACAAAATTACGCGTAGTATTCGCGTGTCACAAAGGGCATTGATAGCCGGCGAACAAACGCATCTTTTTTTATTATCAACCTAATATAGCAAAGCTGTGCATCTGCGTAACCTTCTAGAGACGGCTAGAGAGCTTCAGTTACCGCTTCGTGTAAAGATGTGACGCAACACATCTGAAGTAGACGAGTGGCCGGGTGACATACGCGAACAGACGTTGTGCAGATTTTACTATACCGCGCGCTGACGTCTGTCCCTGACGCTATGTCCAATTCAATATGGCCGCGCTGACACTCAGATGTCTAACGAGATTGGCAGCAACGGACCTTGCTGGTCGGAAGCTACGGACAATATAGCTGCATAAATTGCTAAGCCAGTGTGAGACATGTCTGGTAGCATTCATCGCTGAAGATATGCGGCCATTCGCAGATATAATACAAGTTGTAGAAGATCGCTGGTGTTACTTATGAGACTGGCGTCCGTAGCTGTGACACGTCATATCAGATTATTATCGACCGCAATAACATCTTCTTCGAATAAGAGCCATAAACGACATCAAAAAGAGAAAAAATTGCCTAAGAAGTTTGCTGCGTATACACACGGGCGGATTAGATTTTTACAGCCAAGCATACAAAAAGATATATAAGAATATATTATATATATACGTACATTATATATATTTCATCAAGAGTCCATAATAGAGGGTCTCTATTATGGACTCTTAATTATATATATATGAGGTGGACGTGGATACTACCGTGTTATGGATGGATATTACCAAGAGTAGATAATAGAGATCTCTATTATCTACTCTTGATATTACCTTTATACGACAGTAACAACAATTCTTCGCTAGAATTGCTTTCGCGATATCGCAGTATATGTGGAATTATGACGTAGAACACATGCGCGCGATCGTAACATGTTCCTGGGAATGAGGTATTCATCAGTGGCACTTTGTTAAGACAAACAACAACGCTTTTTCCAATTTACTCAATGTGTATTGATCATTAGAAAGCGTATATAGCGTCTAGCCTAGCAAGCAGCAGCGACGTGACGCCCGCGCGCATGTCAACACACGTAGCAGCATCACACTATATTCCGGACAGAAAGGCAAACACTAATTAAATAGAACATCTTCATTTTGAAACGGAAATTTATAGAGACCGTGTGTCAATTATCTATGCTATATATGTATATATATATATATATATATATATATATATATATAATAATATATATATATAATAATATATATATAAATATATATATATACTCGCACGGCGAATGGCGTATAACGATATCAGATGATGATGAGGAATACGATATTGCATGTAGCTGCTTCGAGTCGGCTAGCCATCGCTTACCGTTGACGTGAAATGGAAATTAATACACCGCCTTAGATATTGGAAAATGGACAGAACGCGAATCTAGCATGCAAGGACGCAAATAGAATCTAATGAGAGCAACCGGTGCCTTGCCTGGAAGTAGTAAATGCAGTATGTAGCCTTAACCCTTGACGTTACCATATAGTGCCATCACTGGTAGGACGATAGTGGAAGCGATCAGGTCTATGCCGTCCCCCCCTATCCAAGATTTACTACCAGAAAACGAGTGAAAATCATCTGGGCCATTAATTAATGCATGAGCATTTTATACCACCGTGAACGCATTGTTTATCGTTTTATTTGTTCATGTATTGTTTCCGAGATCATGTTGTTTAGCCCGACGTTGTCGTATGAAGTACTAAAAGTGCGCGACTGCACACCGGTGTGTGGGTGCTTACAGTACTGTTCTAGACCCCCACTCCAAGTGAGTTTGGCCCCTTCCAACCCAGTTGGGATTCCTGATCGGATCCGCATTCCTGAATCCGCCAAAGAATGACAGTAACCAGAACAGCGGTGATATCGGGATTTCATTCGCATTACATCCTGCTTAAGGGGTTCGTTTACTCTAGGTTCTAGGGTTATTTTCAGTTTAAAATTACGCGGCATAAAAAGTTTCATGGTTTAATCACCATTAGAAATATTATTAAAAAATGTTTTAAAACTAACGACTACAGTTTGATTACAATGACGGTGGCGCTACTGAAAGCGCACGATCTGATAAGTTGCGCAAAACCACTTTTCAGCCAAGGGCTACAGACCGAGGGTGATACTTATGTATTAATTTAAAAGCAAAAGGATTGTAATATCTTATAAACGACATATAGTTTCAGTTATATTATGGATAAATTTGTCCTAAAATGAACATCGTTCGGTTAAATAGCATTTAGGTATAAATATAATTTCACCTTTGTGATTAGCCCTCGGTCTGTAACGTGCAAAATAAATTGGCAAATGCGCAACTTTTTTAGGGTGGCAGCACGGTCGCGGGTGTCAATGGCGGCGTTCAAATTTTGTAGCGTTGATGTATAATTAATTATAACAATTAAATTAGGTATCTGGTAACAAATACGTGTGGGTATAGACGATTTGTTATACAGTAAGTACAGTTGTATGCAGTAAAATCTTAGAGTCTAGTATTCCTTTAAGCCTGCTGCGTAATACGCATATACACACATGCTCATTATACAAAAGTGCATTTACCCACCGCAGTCACAAACATTATCTACACTCAACGAGAGCAGATCTACATTCATACACCACACGAGACTAGAAAGGTATCATACTAATCAGGCACTGTATTGGTCTGAACAGAATCAGTCTTCGTTAACGTTTACCAAATCATGCAGCCTTTATATATATATATATGATTAAGGGTGAATGATTTGGTAAACTTTAACGAAGACTGATTCTGTTGAGACAAATACAGTGCATCTGAGCTGCGCTCACTGATTCACGATGCAAGCTCGTTGTCACGGGCCCTCCTTGTGTTTATACACGATTTAGATGTGCCCGCATGCGCGCGCGATCACCGTAGACCTGCCATCGATTTCCCCCCCACATGACAAAACATATTAATCCCAACTTCGTGTACCATGCTCGTAAATTCCACGTGAGAAACCAGGCACTCGACGCGCGGTGGTGTAATGATTTATTGGTAATTTCCGCGGCTATGCAGCTGACGCATGTTATACGCACGCAGTCGCACACAATCGACCAGCCTGTTCTGCTAGCATCTATGACAAATACGACATACGTATATACGCTCTCCTATGACACTATTTGTCATAGGAAGATTCTTCCTATGATAAATACTGTTGTATGTGTTGTGCGCATCATAGGAGTCATAGGAGCGCTATTATGAACGCAAGCAGTGAATTTCAGCTGTAAAGCGGAACGAAGTTGACTCGCCAATATTTGTCATAGGAAGAATCTTCTTATGAGAAAAAGTGTCATAGGAGAGCGTATATGCGTATGTCGTATTTGTCATAGATGCTAGCAGAACATGTTGAATCGACGCACATTACGTGTAAGAACGTCGCGTCGTGTTGCCGCGTTCCGTTCCGTGTATCGCCAAATCTTCAATCGAATTATCGCGCTCAAGGACAAAAGGTTATAAACGAAAATACAGGAAGCATTACCGTGGACCGTCTGTCACTCTTAAGATGACGCAATGCGCTCGCGGCGTCTGCTAGTATGTACACGTGACGCATAGATTCACCCGCACGCGCACAAACGCGCACGACAGCTCGCCAGCACTTAGAACAAAGGCCCGCGGAATGGCGACGGCACGTCTCAAGAATCACGTTATTTCGCCGTGATGTGCGCGCGCCCGACGCCTAGCGCGACGGTCTACTCGACGTCCGCAGTTCATTCGTGCAGCCGAGTGGCACACGGCGCACGCGTGTACATCGATCTCCCCGCGCTTCTCGCCTAGCCGCCCCGTGCGTTCCTAGTCTACCGCAGCATCCGTGCCGACGGTACCGCGCCGGGCGCGGAAGGCGTTGCTATGATACGGCGGCATGCATCGCAGCCGGCGCAGCACACACGCGCACATACACGTGTGATGCACGCACGCGCAAACGCACGCACGCACAAACGCAAGCGCGTACGAGTCCCCGCGTGTACGAACGCACGCATACAAACGCGCGTACGCACGAGCACACTCATGTGCACGCACACTCATGCTCACGAGCGCGCGTACGTACAAACGAACGCACGCACGCACGCGCGCGCGCACTCAGACGGACGCTCTGGTGGGAGACTGCGGTTCGTCGCCGCAGTCCTGTATCGTCGAGTAGACGTCCTCTCGGCTGCGAAACGTCTGCATCTGCAACAGATGCGATATGCGACCGGGCGAGCGCGTCACCTTGTAACGCGTCTGCTTGCCCGCCGTCCGACCGTAACACGAGCACGAGCACGTCGACGCCGCGTCGCTGTAGTCGGTCGCCAGCTCGCCGCCGCCGCCGCCGCCGGAGATGATGCTGCCGTTGGCCGTAATCACGTCTCCGTCGAGCCGCACAGCAATCTGCGCGGCCGCCTGCGCCTCGGCCTCCTCTCGCTTCTCATCCTCCGTGTTCATAGTGAGGAAGCGCAACACGAGTAGATTCATGGCGGCGCCGACGACCGTCAGACCCGTGAAGATGAAGACGAGGCTGAGCACGATGTAGTAAGGATTCTGCTCGGTCGTCTCGCTATTCTGTAGCGCCACGTAATCACCGAACCCGATCGTCGTCAGCGTAATGAGGCAGTAGTAGAGCGAGTCGAAATACGACCAGCGCTCGTAGAAACTAAACATGAACGCGCCGCCCGTCGTGACGATGGCGCACAGGCCGAGTCCGACGATGATTAGGTTCGTCTGCGACACCTCGGTGCTGCGCAGCTTCATGCAGCGCTTCAGATGGATGATCGTGAAGGCGACGAACGTGTTCAGACGCTCGCCGATCGCCTGGAACATGACGAGCGTCAGTGGGATGCCCGTCAGCGCGTAGCCCATGCAGAACAACTTGCCGGCGTACGTCGTAGGCGTCGAGTGTCCGTAACCTGTTCGTGCGCATGCGGCGCGCGCGTGTGTAGAGGCGAACCGGTGACGTGGTGCAGGCAGCGGCATGTACAAAAGCAAAAAAAAGATAGAGTTAGTACGCGAAAAAGCTGTCATTACTCGATGAACACACTGCTGGAACACGCGAAAGAGGGGAGACAATCAAGAGCAATTTAGAGTCGGCGCAGAAAAAAGTCGGTAGTCTAATAGCGTTTTACTGTATAGGTTTCATTAATAATTAATTACAGGTATCATACGGACACTGAAGTCTCTGCACATAAGAGTCGGCTATTCATCATAGACTGCGACAATACACCGCACGTCTTTGCGTACAAAGCCTACTATCTCTGCGAGAGTGTGATTATAGCACGAATACATAGCAAACAGATATTCATCTGCTATTTTGTTTTCGTTATATTACTCTGCAAGGATTTGCAAGGATTTGCTTCTCTGCGTAAAGAGTCGATTACGCCTGCTAAAATATATGTGAACTGACTGCGGAGACGCGATTCCTTTTCCGCAAGACTTCATCTTTCTTTGTCATGAGAGGGAGACAAGGTGTGGGGGGTGTCAGGCGTGGCAGGAGATGGGTGTGAGAGGAGACGGGCGTGGAATATGAGAAATAGCGGAGCGATAGGAGACTATAAATAATAGCGAGGAGTATGAGTGTAAAAGGAATGGCGCATGGTGGGAGGGTAGAGGGAGTAGCGTGGGCTGAGAGCTTAGGACGAATAGTACGGGGCAGGAGTGTAGAAAGAATGGCGCATGCGGGAGTGTAGAAGAAATGTCGCAGGGTGAGAGTGTCGAAGGAAGAGCGCAGGGTGAGAGGGTAGAGGGAATGGCGCAGGGGGAGAGTGTAGAAGGAAGGGCGCAGAGTGAGAGGGTAGAAGGAATGGCACAGGCTGAGAGGGTAGAAGGAATGGCACAGGGTGAGAGGGTAGAAGAAATGGCGCAGGGTGAGAGGGTAGAAGAAATGTCACAAGGTGAGAGGGTAGAAGGAATGGCGCGAGGTGAGAGGGTAGAAGGAATATCGCAGGGTGAGAGGGTAGAAAGAATGGCGCAGGGTGAGAGGGTAGAAGGAATGGCGCAGGGTGAGAGGGTAGAAGGAATAACGCAAGGTGAGAGGGTAGAAGGAATGGCGCAGCGTGAGAGGGTAGAAGGAATGGCGCAGGTTGAGAGGGTAGAAGGAATGTCGCAGGGTGAAAGGGTAGAAAGAATGGCGCGGGTGAGAGTGTAGAAGGAATGACGCAGGGTGAGAGGGTAGAAGGAATGGCACAGGGTGAGAGTGTAAAAGGAATGGCGCAGGGTGAGAGTGTAGAAGGAATGTCGCAGGGTGAGAGGGTAGAAGGAATGGCGCAGAGTGAGAGGGTAAAAGGAATGGCGCAGGGTGAGAGGGTAGAAGGAATGGAGCGGGTGAGAGGGTAGAAATAATGTCGCAGGGTGAGAGGGTAGACGGAATGGCGCGGGTGAGAGGGTAGAACAAATGTCGCAGAGTAAGAGGGTAGAAGGAATGTCGCAGGGTGAGAAGGTAGAAGGAATGGCGCAGGGTGAGAGGGTAGAAGGAATGGCACAGGGTGAGAGGGTAGAAGGAATGGCACAGGGTGAAAGGGTAGAAGGAATGTCGCAGGGTGAGAAGGTAGAAGGAATGGCGCAGGGTGAGAGGGTAGAAGGAATGGCACAGGGTGAGAGTGTAGAAGGAATGGCGCAGGGTGAGAGTGTAAGACGAGTAGCGCGGAGAGGTTAGGAGAAATTGCGAGGGAGGAAAGTAATGTACGTAGGTAAATACGGTATGGGCTTCAGCGTACACACGCACGTGACAGAGTACATATACCACCACCCACGCGACCTGAATACTGTCATCTAACCTGGAGGTAAAGACGACACCATGAACCTGACAAGAAAGCAGATAAAGGTCTAAATAGAGCTCGAAACAAACATTCTCCCTGCACATGTACCGGCACTCGTGCTTGTTATCTTAGTATCCGTCATTACAATTGAATATAGTTAATTGCCACGCACTTTATGCGAATTTCAATTGAATTGTAAACGCGACCACTCTTCTTGATGTAAAATGTAACGGCAAACCACAGTAAAAACATTGTTAATCGCGTTTATTCATATATAAGCAAATACCATAATTTAATAATATCAAGAATGGATTACACGGCTCCTATCCTTTCATAGATTATTGATAATACCGTTACAATATATAATACAATAAATTGTTTCAAAATCATTAAAAAAACATCAAACAATGCTATATCTGATAAAAAGCACATTTGACATAAATTCTACACTCGCACTACACTCTCGCATAAACAGCATCATTTTCTCACAAATTGCGCCAGACTGAGGGTGTCAATATATTCCTAGCAATGTAATAAAGCAATCTTATCAAGAACGCGGCGACGAATAAGTAGCAGCGGTTGCAAGAGAAGCCGACAATAATAGACACTGCGGCTGTGGGAATAAGCACATGTGAAACTGAACAAAAGTTGTTAACGTGATTACGTCACCGTAAATAGTAAAAAATAAAAAAAATATTTCCACTTTTTCACAAAATATAAGTAATTCTGTTCACATTTTATGGTTAAATTGCTGCATTATACATTCTATTTTAATATATTGTTCGATGTGAACATACACTCGTGACCGATACATAGTCCATAGCAAGCAATTAATGTTGAGAACATGAATTCAAATCGTCCAGGTTTTTTTGGATTTTTAACTAGTTGAGAAACAATCTTATCAGGTAAGAATTTGACGATTTGTTTAGTCTCGTTAGTTCTTACTTTTAATGTAAAAAAAAGCAAATTTTTTACAAATTTTACCATAGAAAATTCGTGACGTAGTCCCTTTATGGCAACACGATCTGGCATTTACAGGTGCTTCGAGTACAGATGATTGTCAGCGAAGCAAAAATGCGCAATCACTATCGCTGTACCGAATGTGCGCCGGCGTACCATTTTCAAGTATATTAACTAATAATTGCAGCTAATAATAATAGCTCCAATCTGACATTTAAAACAAACTGCACAGGCCCTGACAATCACCGGGTTAATGGGTTTCTGGTTTAATCTGAGAGTGCAGTTAAGAACCTAAATTCCAGATCTATGAGTTGTTTTCATGGGTTCACAGAAATACGGCTGACTACGGCACTGGCATGCGAGCATAATTACCTCCGCCAGGGGCGTGTTTTCACCGGCGTGCCATTGAGTGTTGGTTTGTGTGTGTGTGTGTTACCATGCACGTTTCAGTTCACTTCCGCTAGGTGCGCTGGCTGTAGACTTACAAACACAGGCTAAGGGGCAACCACAGTCCTCCCCCACCTGCACGCTCGTACTAATCCGGATCCAATTAATTGTTAATTTAAATTAATT